GGTCATATTGTAAGACCAGTTTGTCAGTTTGTTTCTACAATATTTTTTGTGCATATTTGCCTTTTCTCATATAGCTAAGCTATAACCTCACATCTTGGCTAAGCAAGAATTTTAGAAAGCAAGCACAAGAACACAATAAAGAAAATCACTAAGTTTTTGAGTAAATAGTGAGGATAAATAAATATCTTTACTCAACTGTACACTTTAATAGAAACCGTACAACAGAAAAAATGAGGCAGCACATGAATTTAGCCTGTTATTCTAAGAATTTTTTCTTAAGAAAACACTCACTGAGGTGATGTCCTTCTCTTGAACTTTTTGTTCTAGGATCTTTTCCAGCCTGAGTACTGATATGTTTTGTTTGGATTTTCTTTTGTGGGGGAGGGGTTGAGGAAGGGGCTCCTTCAGGAGTTGTTTATGTATGCTACATATTGGCGAATTTCTGAAAACGGGCAAAATTCCTCTCCAAAACAGTTTTTCAAGAACTCTGAAGCAAAATCTTGGGAAACCTATGAGCTGAGTCAAATTTTATGGCATTCTTCTCTGTAATGCTTTCGAATTGACAACTTATGTTGAAATTCATAATTAATTGTGTGAAGTACCTATATCTTAACATGGTTATTTCATCTATGAATATTAATTATATATTTTACATTGATTCTACAACTTTTATCTCTTTGACTAAGATTTTGTAACTGTGATTCTGGAGGCAGCTCAACAGTTTCCACGTTTTGTGGCACTGAATACCATCAAAAGCCATTTTATGGCTCTCCAATCATTAAAACCTTCGTATTACTGGAGCAGAGAAAAGAACTCTTTGCCTACCTGGGGATAATGCTACCGTTATGTTGGAGATTAATGGAGTAAGGATAAAGGCCAAACACAGCATGGGCCTGTGTTCTATTTGACCCTGTGATCATTTAGCACTGGACTGGTAGCCCTGTACATCTGTGAACTTTGACTTTGCAATGCACTCAGGAAAATATGCAACCTATATTCTTTTGCTTAAGCAAAAGTGATTTTGGGAATAAGTTTTTTAAAACTTGTAAGTTCTTTCTGCCCAGGTCATCACCTCCTTCTGTGATTTTAAGTTGAGCAGCTTAAAGACAATATTTAAAAATAATAATAAATTAAATTTTTAAATAAGAAAAAATCTAAAACCCATCTTGTCTTTTCCTTTTATTTTTCTTTCTTTCATTCTTTCTTTCTTTTTTTTTTTAAAATACTGAAATTTTGATAAAATATTGGAGAATGAGATATTCTGGTTCATTGGCAATTTAGCATAAATCCTTTTCATTGTAAATTCTGTTGAAACTTTTCTGGGTTTGGTAACTTTTTCACTTTACGAAGTACAATCAAATAGGCACACTTTAATCTTTCTTTGATAATTAATCTTATCAAAGTGCCTCAGGATTATCATTTAACACATAGATTCTCATTGCTCAGGATAAAATCTTTGGAAATATGGAAAAAGAATTGCTTCTTCCCCAAAACTTATTGTAGACATGCCTGTATATACTACATTTTAGTGTCAAATTATTTTCCTCTCTGTCTAAAAATATATGAAACAAGTTCTAGATAATAAAAGTTTTAATTTCTGATATTTTGTTCAGCCATCCCAGTCTTCATTCAAGAGAGTAGCAAGTTTACTTTCATAATGAAGGCCCCAAAACTTGGACAGCTGAGATTAATTGGAAACACAGTATAAAGTGCCTGTTAAGGTAGAATAAGTAAATTCCCAACTTCCTTCTTCTTCCACCAATACTGACATACTAATATCAACTGTGAATAAAAATATGTGATGGAATATACTTAGAATGCCAGTTATCCATGATTTTTTCCTCATGTAAAATGTTTCTCAGACTTAGAAAGACTCAGATATGCTTCAATCAACTGCTTCAGGAATCTGGGGGGGAATTTGTAATGGATTTTAATATTTAAATCAGATTTACATAGTCTATAAAGTTACCTTTAATATATAAATATTACAGAAAAATGTTCTATAACTGACTTTTATTCCAAAGACTTTTCAATCTAAATATTAAAATGATTAAACAAATAACAAGTGAAAATGCTTTCCTTTTGTGCATAGACTGCTTAGCAGAGGGGACTCTACTAATGTACATTTATTTCAAAGCATAACCAAGATGTTGATCTTTGATCTGATAAAAAGGTCACTATAGTTTAGAATGCTTATACTGCAATAGTTGCTGGTAAGTGTAGAGAGGAGGTTATTTTGAAAATATATGTTTTAACAATCTAATTCTATCTATAATCTTAGAGAAAATACGTACAAATGAATTTGAACATTTTGATGGTTGTATGAACAAATGAAAATATTGATTTGAGTCAGTTATGAGATTGTGGGAATTTTTCTCTCGGATTTATGTTGTTATTTTGATATGCCATTCTCAATAAAGTAATTTTATTTATTATTTTTTATTTTTGGGGGGGTAAAACCACAGCTAATGGAAATGGGGCACACTGTATGGGGGAAGTACACGCTTTGATGTAGTCTCATTTTTCTATTTTTGCTTTGGTCGTTTA